ACGGCTTCCCCCAAAGCACCCCATTCGGGACCCCATCACTCAAACCCACCACACCCCACTCCACCCCCTCTCCCCCGCCTGCGCCTCGCAAGCGCCTCCTAGCGGAGCCTGAGCATCAGGGGTGAGGAGGGCGGGGCGAGGGAGGCTGTGGCCACGCCCCTCCACACCCAGTTGCTAGAAACCACTGCCCTGAGGCCCCGCCCTCGACACCCGGTGCCCGCTCCTCTACACCACTCTTGGCTGCCACCGAGGTGGTAATGAGGGTTTGTTTGACTTCGTGGGTCAGACTAGCAGATTTCTGAAAGTCACCTGTGCCCTGTACACTCTGAGACCTGAGGCAGCGACTCCTCCCTGTACCTGTGGTTTCCAAGTGATTTATTTGCTCAGGGGCGAGGGCATGCCACACGAAGGGGTAGATGGGCAATGCCTGGTAAGGGGAAGATGGGGTGAAGGCCTGACATGGGGGACGGAGGGTCAGGGCGTGGCACAGGGGAGATGGGGTGAGGGTGTGGCCCAGGATAGGAAGACAGGCAAGGGCCTGGCACAGGAGGGGGAAGATGGGGTGAGGGCTTGGAATGGGGGACATGTGCAAGAGCCTAGCATGGGGGAAATGGGACAAGGGACTGGAACCGGGGGAGATAGGTGAGGGTGTGGCACAGGGAGATAGCATGAGGGTGTGGCATGAGGAGATAAGGTGAGGGTGTGGCTGGGGGAGATGGAGTGACGATATGAGTTGGGGAGATGGGCAAGGGTGTGGCACGGGGGACTCGGGACATTTAGGCTGGGGTATTTCCAACCTAGGCATCTCCCCAGCCCTGTTGTCACTCAGAGGTGGACACGGGATCAGCAGCATGCTAGCTGCACATGCGTGTCTTTGGCCGTATGACACTCAGCTGTAGGTCCCATACACAGCAGAGGTACACTGACTTTACACATGCTCCTTCCCGGAGTGTGTGTGCACTCGAGAGAGCATGCGCGCATATACACACACACACACACACACACACACACACACACACACACGATCTCCCCTGAGGCTCATCCACACACACTCAGTTCTGCTACAGCCTGGCGCTGGTCGACACAGACTCACACCAGCCGATCCACATAAACAATACAGCGGCTCCCTGTCCGTGTCCTCTGTCACATCCGTCACTGGTGCAAAGGCCCACATTGATACACTAACACAACATGCAACACGTGTGAGAAAAACCCGCAGCTCCTGAGGGCACACACATGACACACATGGGGGGCTGGTGTGGGAGGCCAGGCCGCCTTGCACACACAGCTGACTAGACCCCACCCCCACTGGGCCAGCCACCATGAAGCTGTCACCAGTCACCCTGTGACCACCTCTGCTCACCCAGCCCAGCCATAACTGGGGGTGGGGCAGACAGACACATGGGGAGCAGGACACGCACATGTGCCCACCATGTGGACGCTCATAAAATGGTTGCCCTGGCAACAGCAACTTGAAAGACCAGGCTCTTCCTCTGGGATAGGGGTGCAGGGGTGGAGCTGACACTGGCTGGCAGGACAAGAGCAGAAGGTGGGGACATAGGATCTGCACCCACCTATGACCCCATTTCTGGGACACGGGGTTCATTACAAACACCCACGGGGATCTCATCAGCCTCAGACAGGCAAAGTGGCTGCCTCACTCAGGGCTGGACGTGGTCACACCAGAAACACAGGTGCCATCTATCCCAACAGCCTCCTATGTCACCCACACACTGTCACCCCCCAGACAGAGGGTGACAAACAGATGCCCTGTCATACTCTGTGAGTCACACCTCAGCTGGGAACTGGGACACACACACACACACACACAAACACACACACACACACACACACCCCTCTCCTTCCAGAATTCTCCACCCCCAGCTAAGATGAGGCTGATCCCCTACTGGGATGGTGTTGGGTGAGGCAGATGCTCCATGGAGACTGGTACTGTTGGTGTTACCTCCTTCCGAGAAGGCTCACGGCCGGCCAGTCTGGGAGACTGAGCTCAGGGCTGGGCTGGGGGTGTTTATAGTATTTTATGTTAAGTCCTCTTGTCCCAGATTCCCTACCAGAGCCTAAATGTGGGGAATCTGAGTCTCCAAGACACACAGACAGGCCCTTTGATCCACTTCAGCAAGGGTGCCTGGCCCTGGTGGAGGTGACAGGAACCTGAGCTGTGGCCCCCACCCTGACTTTGCCTGGACTTCTTTCCTCTTCTGTATCAACCTTCCCACATCTCCAAGCAACGTCCCCTGCAATGCCATATGGCCTTCTTGGTGACTGACTGTGTGGTTGTGAAACCTGAGGCTCAGAGAGGTCATGCAGCAGGTCCCGGGTCACACAGCAAGAGGCCGTAGCTTGGGGACTTTGCAGAATGCTCTGCCCTGTCCACCCACCCATCTCCTCCTGCTCTGGAGCCAGTCTGACCTCTCCTGTCGGCTACCATTCCCAAGGGGAAGCGCTCTGTTCTTGGGTGGAGACCCAGGCCAAGGCTTGGGAGGCTGGAGGCCTCTGGCCAAAACATGCATGAACTTGGCTGGTGGGGAAGTTTCCATCTTAGCATTAGGAGTTGGTCCAGGTTCAGCAGATCGGGGTCTGGACCCCTTGGGGGTGGGGACCCCCAGGGACTAGCCGAGAAGGGTTGGAGGTGCCTGGGAACTCAGTGTGTCCTCTACCCCCCTAGGCCATCTCCATGTGACTCTTCACTTCAAAGGCACCATCTTGCAGTGTGTGTGGTGGTGTCAAGGTGACAGAGACTGACCAGCCTCAGTTTCCCCATCTGTGAAATAGCTCCTAGGTATGTTCCAGGCTTAGCCTTGGATATCCCCTGTTTGGCAGGATGGGGTTTCCTTTTGTGAAAGGATCCCATACTGTAGCCCAGGCTAGCCTGGAACTTAACTCCTGACCCACGGAGCATGTTCCCCATGGTGGTCTTTGAGGTGCTCTGGATGGAACCAGGGCTTCAGCCGAGTCAGCGAGGGCTCTACCTGCTGAGCCCCGCCCCAGGTTGACTTCTGACAAGGCTTTGCTATGTAGCCCAGGCTTGCCTGGAACTCTCCATCCTCCTGTCTCCATGCTTTGCTGGGCTGGATTCTGGGGCTTTGGGGTGAATGTCGCTTCTGGTGTGGGAGCCGCAGCGCCCCCCCCGCCCCGCATCACCTGACACTCTCTCTATGGTGGGGGTGGGGTGGTCACCGGCAATGAAGGGACCCTGGAGGCCCGTGGGCGGCAGGAAAGAGCGGATCCCAGGCAGGGATGGTAAAAACAGGACCTGGCTGTTCCCCTGGGGGCCATCGACAGCCCAGGGTCACAGGTCAAGGCCGGGTTCCCCCGGGGCCCGGGGTCAGGAAGGTGGGAAACACAT